TGCGGCTGCACAAGGGCGCAGCTGCCCCTTTGTTAGGAGAAGGGACCTGGAAGCAGTGGTCGGGACAGCAGCGTCCTGCTTGGTGACAGATTAATATTTTTTTTTTTTCTTACGCTGGATGTTGCCGTTCTAAAGGATTCTCATCATGATCGATAGCTCCAAGAAGCAGCAACAGGGCTTTTCCGAGATTTTACCGGCAGGGGGGGGTAAGCCGCTGAAGGAGAAGGAAAGCCTTGAGGTGAACAGCCAGAAAAGTCTCAAGGAAGGTCAGTCACTTGCTGGTTGGGGGACAGAAAATGCAGAAGTACTGGGCAGGTTCAGCTCACCAGCAGTTGAGGTGTAATGCTGCATGTCAGCAAGGATTTTCGTACGTTAAATGAAGTATTGTTTTCCCTCTTAAAAAAAATCTAAAAGCTAAATTTAGAATTTACCTGAGTATTAAAATAACAGTGCTAATAGCTTGATAGAAATTGTAGTATGAAGAAGAATGAGTGATTCAGTACTCTTTTCAGACTAGCATTTAGTGCTGAATTCATGAAGTACTCTGAAATGGTCCTCTAAATGTTGCACAAAATGCTTCAAAATGTCACCATTGAAATAAATATAATGAAATAAATGTCATTAAATATGACACTATTAAAAAGAAAACCCCACAAACCTTTAGTTTTAGACATGTGTTACTACCTCATTTTCAACAGTGCTTTTCTCAGCCACTGTCTTTCTCTGGAATTCCCTTCTCCCCTCACACTTTAAATTAGATTTGACTCTGCTTTCCAGATGTATGCTTTTCAAATTACATTGTCTCCTTAAATGATTGCTTTTAGACTGTGCATTAAATTTGGAGCATTATTTAAAGCTGACAAATGGTAGTATACCAGATTCATTTAAAGTAGTAGTTGTTAGGCTGTGGCAATAATACTGCTGAGACAGGGAAGTTGACTTACTCCTTCTAGCTGGAGGTACTCTTCTAGCGGGCCCGTGTTACGGAGGAGAGGGAAGAGACTTCTTGAGGTCAACTGCCAGCCCTGCACGGGACAGTTTAACTGGTGTATGTTAACATACCAGGCTCTTTGCAGTTCAAGACTCAAACTCCAACTTCTTAATCAGAAACAAACTGTATTTGTAGTAGAAAAATTCCTTCTTTCCTTTTACAGCGCTCTGCCTTAGCGTTTACTCCAGATATCTCTGGGTTGTCCGGTGATTCAGAGATTTCTTCCTTGGTGTTGGGGCAAGACTGCTGTTTTTCCCCCTTCTACATGAGATCACGGCTTTCTCAGAATTTAAATGCTGGATTTGTTTTGCAGTTTTGTTTGTTTTTAAATTTGGGTCTTAATAATGTTTAAAGTAGCAAAAAGATAGCAAATATTCATTATTGAATTCAGTAACTGTCAGTTCATTTAAAAAAAAAAACAACCAAAACACCTTTACTTAGCTGTGAGTTAGGGCTAGAGAAGACACTGATTTTTATGTAAAAGTCCTGATACCGAAGACTTCTTATTGATTGGAAAGATAGATAATAAGAAGTTGAGTGTTGATGCATGTGGCTGTGGCTGAGAGCACAACGGTTCTGCTTCCTTTACAGCAGGAGAGTACAGAGTGACAGACAGTGATTGAAGAGAAAGGGCCAACAGTGGCTGCTTTTCTGTGGGGTTTGCCTTCCGACTCCAAGCAGGCCCAGTTGAACCTGCTGCTGCTATCTCTGAAGCTCTGTAGGGCAACAGGAGCAAAGAAAGAAGTCGAGGAAGTTGAGAGGGACAGAGGAGCGAGCGTACTGTTGTGGGAAATACTGGAGGGAAAAAAAAAACAAACACCTAACTAATCCAAGCTACCAAGAAATAAAGGGGAGAAAGACGTGAAAAAAATAGTATGGTGGGTAGTGTAGATGGGCTAGTAAGTAACCACGGTAATCACTGTCTTCAGTCTTCTTTGAATATGTCAGTAATGTAGAAAGTGAATGAAAGAATGTACATTACAATAATGATGGTCTGTCAGAGTAGCAAAAATCCTGCCATTATGGGACACTCTTCCAGTCTAAATTCATGAATATTTTAGAGTTTAAATTATTCAGAACATAAAAGAAGATATAATTGTTTTCCACAATCACTGTCTTTGCTTCCTTTCCTGTTTTAGTACCTGTTCTCCACTTTCAGTTTTCCCCAGTGAATATTGCTTATCCTTTTATCACTCCTAAGTTTGGCAATCTAATAATTAAAATAATGAACCTCTTTTTGAGAGTATGAACGACTACAGGATCTCCTTTTCCAGGCTTTCCTTTTTCTAAAACTTAGAAAAAACAAGCATTTTCTTTCTTGTAGTACATAGAATGAATTATTGAAAACATTGCAAATCTGATTTGCATCTAGACAGACTAAAACAGAGTTTCACCTTTTCAGTTTATAATGTTATGAAGTAAGTAGTTCAGGTGTTTTGTAGATTTTTAAAAATTCATTTGGAGTTGTTAATTTCATCACATTTGAATAACACACTATAAATTACATGAAAAACACTCCCTATTTTACAGAACAGTATGTTCTAAATTAGCTTGTGGCATTCTGTCTCTCTCCCCGCCTCCCCCTTTCTTTTTCCTTTAATTCAAAAGATGATGTGTCTGGTTTTGCACCTGAATCATCAACCTTTTTTTGCTGGGACACAAAAATACTTATGAATACCATCTGTGAATGGTTAAAACTGTGAAAATTAAAAATGTAACTCTATTGACAAACCCAGATGAAGTACATAGAGGTCAAGTAATTCAGAAGGTGCCAGAGCCTTTGCTTCACAATCTGTTTTGCACAGGTTTGATAGATCTAGAAATCCTGAGACAGTACGGTGTGCTTATTTCAGTAATGAGTACCTTATGAGAATTGTTACGTGCAGTTCTTTTTTTACTTAGTATTTCTTTATAAGGAAAGAGACTTTTGATGGAAACACAAATCCCAATACTATCTTCAGCAAATTAATATTAAGGGCATTGGAAGGTTAGATTACAAGGATGAATTTTTTTCTTTGCTTAGGCTAACGAATGCTCTTAGAAGATACACATTATAGCATCCTATAGCACAGGAGGGAATCCTCTTAATTACTTTCTTATAAACAATTCATATGTTATTGTTACATATTGTCTGTTCTGTGAAAATAGTTCTTAATTTTATCTGTTTTATCAAAATTACTTCTTGTATGAGCAAGGAACAAAAATACTTTTTGGCTCTGAGGCTAACCATACAGTGCTAAATGAACAGCTTTTTAGAAATTCTTGTAGCATTGACTTCTAATGTCAAGTGAGTGACCAAAACATTTAGAAAATTCAAGTTAAAAGCCTTGAATATGAAATCAGGACATCACTGTGCATACAGTTAGTAAGAAAGAGTTGGTATCATCAACAATGCATATATTAGGAATTAGGAATATATTTAGGCTGCGGATTAGAAGGTTTCTAACTGAGGAGTGAAGTGAATTTAGGAAGTCTTGCCTTGTACTCTGAATTGTTTTAATGTAAAGATTGATCAGCTCCTGCAAGAGTGTGTGACCATGCAGATCTGTTGAAGACCCAGTATTAAATCAGTATGGTGCTGTCTCAGGTGGGATTTAAAAGGAGATTTGATCCCAATTTGTTCGCACCATATTTTTCATATATTAATCTGGGCTTCTAAGTTACTAGTTGCCTGCAGGTTACTGTAAGGAAAAAAAAACTAACCAGGAAGGAACTTTTCTTTCCACCTTGAAACATGTTTTCTTTCCTGGATTTGTATTGCTTTTTAATTTTACTGTTTTGTGAGGAACTGGAGTCTGGCAAGTGCTAGAAACAGGATACAGGGTGGAATAAGTGAAGCACAGGGATTTCTCAGGTGCTTGCTGGAAATGTCTTCATGCTGTCTGGTTCATAGATTACCAGATTTAGTCAGGAAGGATTTCTTTCCTTCCTCCCTTGCAATCAAATCAATATTGTATGAGAATTGTTTATTTAACAGACTTCCTGCTATTGCTGGGATGTTGACTATTGGGGATACTCTTGACCTCTACTGCTCTCCTGCTGTGCCATGTTAGACTTAAAGATCCTACTGCTGGTTTTGGGTTTTTGCTGGTTTTTTGTTTGTTTGTTTTTAAAAGGTTTAAGTTTTGTTACATGGTGTTTGGAGGTGGTTTTGTGACCCATTATCAGTGGCAGTCTATCAGGTATGTTTCCTGAGACACAGATAATGAGAAAAATACTGTAAAGAAAAAGTGTTACCCCTGTCGTTTTCGTTAATAAAGGAAGCACTGTAAATTCAGTGTACTGATCCTGTGAGGCTGTGTTACAGTTCTTAACTTTATGTATCTACCATAAACAGTCTCTTTAATGACAGTGGGATAATTGCATGTCTTACAAGTAAATCAGCACTTACTTACTCCACAAAATTTTCTTCTTCAGTGCAGCACTTAAATGAATAATAAATATATGGTAATGCCATTATAATAAACATATGCTTAAATATTTCGATAAACCAAGTCTACAATGTATTGATTTGATTTTGTATGTAATCTGTATAAAATTAGAGGATACAGTGGCTAACCAAGAGTTCTAAGGAAACTTGCTATGGCAACTACAAGATTTCTTAAAGGTTTTATGAAAGGTTAGGATTAAGACTACTGCTGCCAAAAGTAGGCGCAGTCTCATCCAGCCCTACCCTGCTTACTGCCAGCCTCTTTCTTGCATTGGCATTAGTAATTATGGAACCCTGAAGTGAGTAGGATCGGTGAACAGGTATTATTGAAGGCTATTTCTTTCAATAGCGTTAGTTTTCAGCCAGATCAAAGCGCTGACCTGACAGGCTACACCTTTGCCAGTGTTGATGCAATGGCAGCAGCTGGGGTGGGAGGGAGGAAGAGACCATTGTCTTTTCATCAGTAATCCTGTCTTAGATCATACTAAGTTATGAAACCACACTCTGAAACCACTGTGTTTTGTTGCTCTGCTGGAGGTTTCTTCTTTCCTTTCACAAAGCATCCAACAACGGATGTATGTACCTCAGCCTTTCTAATGCAAAGTCCTTCTTAATGCGGCAACTTTGCTGTCACTGTAAGCGGTCTGACTCATCCACTGAGCAAGCATCTGCAGAAATCTGATGTTGTCTACACAGCAGACTTGACACAATGCCATTGCTTACATCCAAGTTTGCCATCAGGCTTCTTAGTGTAAATCTACCTTCCTCAGTGTTTTGAGTTAATGTGTAATATCGTGAGTTGGAGGATCTGCTTGGGTATGCATTTTGTTTGCTAGCTCTACTGT